ATCAGTGCACCGCTGACAAATTGTCCCCTACAGCCAAGTGGCACATAGTGAATTTTAATTACAACTGCCCAGTAAAGAGACTGCACTGTAAGTCATCACCATTACTCACGAGCTATATGCTCTTCAAACACCACCCAAAGTTGGCTGCATTGTAAAAGAATAACCGGTGCGTGAGTTGCAATTGTGTGTGAGAGAACATGTGTTTGACACGTGTTTTTTTTTTTTTTTTTTTGTAACACACACGGTATGTGAGTCACAGCGACGGTGCGGTGCTGAGCTGTTCTCTTTCTGAGGGCAGAACTAGGCCAAGGAAAGAATTAGGGTTAAAGGCTCCTCTGAGAGCCATGACAGTGATAGCCTGTGTGTGTATGTGTGTCAGCTGAGCCACAGTGTGTACGCAGCTATACATTTAAAACTTTTATCTGTAACTGACTATGAGTCAGTCTGGGAGGAAGGAGAATATCAAACCAACTGAGAGACAAGATGAAAGTCACATTCATGGTGCAGCTATTTCACATATAGTCTCTGCATAATAACTATTTTTCCATTTGCTCTAAAGCACACTTCTGATTTTCTCACAGAATTTTTCTTTTTCATAAAGAATCTCAATCTCAAATTCTGATATAATTTGAGTGTAATGAATGATTAGCGGCGTGTGTGTGTGTGCATCTTTGCTTGTCCCTCGTGTGACCTGAGGAGGTTAAACCACCATAAGGCCAAAGGTTTCCTCCTCTGCACACGTCTGCGCGTCTCGCCGAAGGGGGCGAGCAGTGAAGCACGGGCCACGTTTCATTAGTTCAGGGTGAGCGGGACAGGCTTTAACGTGATGTATGCACAGCGTGGGACAATTAGGGAGGTAAACAGAAGTAAACACACACAGCTGTTGTGGGATACATGAGCTACAGAGTGAGAAGTGGGTTTGTGTGCTGCAGGGGGAGAACAGCCATGTCAGGGACAGACTGTTTGGACCTGCTCCAGTCTTCATTATGGCGGAGAGGGCGGTGGAAAGCTGCTTTTATGTCGCAACGTATTGATCAAAGTTTGTAAGCTGTTATACCACATGCATAATATATGAAAACCACAGTTTACATGCACAGCATTATGAGTCTTTACAACTGATTTGTTTTTATGTTGAGTTGCCTTTAATTGTGTTGTTTACAAAACGGGATAGTTAGATGATTAAAAAAGAACATGCAGGAGCCTTTTCTCTACAGCGTTCATTTCATTTGCAAAAAGAATTAAGTCTTCAAATATTGTGTAACACAAGAAAACCCCAGAACTTTAAAAAAAATAACTGCATTGAGTGAGTTTTCAATCAATATAACAAAAAAACAAACAATAACGCGGTTGATTGATTCCTGTTTGTGCGACTTACTGTTCAGCGATGATGTAACCTTCCTCCACAGGAGTACACCTCACCCCTGCCACCTCCACGTTTCCCACCATGTCTGAAAAGGCCAGGCCGAGGTTTGTGCCGTGGATGGTCACCCGGGTGCCTCCCTCCGGGGGTCCGGCCACTGGGGTCACCTGCAGGGCAAAAACAAATACCCACCGTCAGGGGAAAAAGTTGCAAAGTGGCACTAAAGGATGTGTTCGTAGCTTCAGTCATGGACCTGTCGTATAGGAATTATAAACGCACACAGGTTTTACTTTGACGCTCAAGGGTAAGCATGCTCTTTCGGTCCAGGTGGCTGTAAAAGCAATTAAGTTCACTCCCCATGTCTTCATCGGAAGAATGTCAGAACGTGCCATGAGTCATTGTGCCGGGAGCGTGCTCTCATCACAACAGTCGCTGATGGCACATGCTTTGTTGCTGTGTTTTAATATATCATCATCACATTCATACAATCCCAAAACAAAAAACACACTTTTAAATGTATTTTTTTTTTTGTTGTTAACTCGTCCCTGTAGAAAACACAACAGTAAACCTGATGGAAGAAACCCCACAATTGAAACTCAGGTTATTAACATTCTGGATTCGTCTGCACCAAATCTGCTGCTGTTGCCATGGATAATAAATCTAACAAGGGGCCATATTAATGCTAAGTGCAGACCACCTATTCATAAAATACAATATGGCTGCCCAGCATGACCTTGGCACAGGGTGGCACGCTGCCGTCTGTGCTGCAGAGCCCCGCTGAGGCTCCCGACCTGGCCATCATCCAGCCCTTTCACAGAGGAGAAGAGGAGGACGACGACGAGGGAGTAGAGAGGGAGAGGATGTAAAGGCCATGATGGACAGAGAGATAAAGGAGAATAAGAAAGCAGAGGGGAAGGGAGGAGATGACAATCAATATGCGGTCACTGGCCATGCAGGCAGAGGGGATTAAACCAACTTGTTCCCACTTACTGAGCTGCAAAGTGCCATGTGACGGCGACCCTGCGATAGGTGCCGCACCCCCGGCACCCATCAGAGCATTGCAGCCTCCCCGTGGCACGCCGGCATTGTAATCTAGATTCAGTGGACATTAATTGCTCTGGATGTAAAGTAAGTGTGTCACTGCACCGCCTGAGGGGTCTGAATACATGAATCTTTTAGCACTGCTTGGGCATGCCGGGTATGGGGGGTAAAACATAATGGCTAAATATATCCGTGTCAGGCACTGGCAGCAGCTATTTGAGTAGACTTGGCGATGGTTACATAAGCGATGTAAGGGCCGGAGAGAGAACAAGACAAGAGAGGAGGAGGATGAGCTACAACAAGATGATAAAAATAGAGAAGATGGGATGAGCACAAGGAACGGTGGATGCCACTGTGATCGCTCGTGATGGATGACAGGTGAGGCAGCGACGGCGACACGACAGTGGTGCGATATCCCAGACGGTCCTAATAGCTCCTCCGTCTTTGACCCTGGAGGGTGACACGGAACCCGTCCCGCAGTGCACCGAGCACAGGAAGTCTAAGTCTCATCCGTGCATGAAACCCATTTGACTGAGCTCTCTGTTGGGACATTTGGAGCCTGGATTCATCAGTGGATCACAGGAAAACCACCTTCAAAGCCACTGATGTCCCGGAGGCGTGAGAGAAGAGCCGCTCTTTGTCCCCATCTGTAGTTCTTACACAAACAAAGGGACTCAATCCATGACACTGGTTTAACTGTGTGTCAACCAGATCCTAATGACCTTTACGAACCAGAGGGAAACTACTGAAGATAATCTTCAGAGGGGTGGAGTAAATCTTTATATTTCAACTCCACATCCTCCTCTTTGCGTCCCGTTTTTCCCTCTTTTGCTTTCTGTCTTTCATCATTTTGTCTCCCTCAGGCTAGGTGACACATCCTCCTCCTCCCAGCACCCTGCTTGCTTGTTTGTCTCACCAGAGGTTCAGAGGGAAGAGGAAGCGGAAGCCTCGTCGGACGTGCACGCACACCCTGCCGCCTTTGCTCTCCCACCCAGTGCTGCCATGCCGTGCTCGCTGTGTAATCCTTTTAGGCGCAGTGCCGCTGCCCGCCTGGCATTGTCACACTGTCAATAGGGGGTAATTCCCAGCAAACAGCCAGTCAGCTTGCACAACGCACTCTTGTACTCTCTCTAGCATAATCTATCTCGCTGCAGCTCAGAGGATCAGAGTATTGGCCATTTACCACCACATTTTCCTCGAGAAATTCTGCAGGATTTTTTGCAATAACCATAAAAAATACTAAAGAGGGGGAGCGATAAGCTGAGGCAAAAACTTCCGGGAGAGAAAGGGTCTCTTTACAGAAGATAATCTGCTCATCTGACCAACAGAAAAGAAACTGTGGCGGCTGCTCACACTCAACAGCCTGGGGAAGTCTGTCAGTGTGGTGTTGACTTATTCAGCTGAAGTAATGGTGGGGAAAGTTGTGCTGATGCAGCCAATGCTAAACTCAGTACATACAGCAGAGAGCGATGCTCTGGCCCGTGCTGCCTTCAGGCTATGCAAGCCTAGCATGTCACTGGAACTGCAGTAGCTGACCGAGCTGAATGACATTCTCCACGACAATTCAGCGTCAATTCCCCCCCCCCCCMTCTACTGCTGAAAAATACAATATCAGCATTTTTCACTTCATATTCTTCATCCTCAAACTTTAATATACACATTTATGTAGGATTTTGCCTCGTCGACACTCTGGGGAGATTCTCCCAGAATTACACCGCGCAACAGTTGATGTGTTTCCATTCCCGCCGTCGCCGGATATTGTGCTTTTGAAACGGAATAGCCCTTGATACAATTTAGGAGCTTGCGGCTAATCTCTTTGTCTTTGGACTGTGCTCGGGCTAATTTGAGTGTGTCACATTTAATTGTGAGCAGCATTTAATGGGCTTGATAAAGCGCCGCTGATCACTTGTTCCTGAACAAACTACATCCTAAATACTTTATGGGGTCTTAAATGCTGCGTAGTTGGCGAAGAGATATGGGTGGTGATGAAAAAGATGTTTTCAGTGCATAAAAAAGGAGAGAAAACAAGAGACAGGGTTATGGGTTAGAGGTGTTTACTCACTGGTTTTTCAAAGGGCCACTTTTAAGTATTGCAAAGGTATATAAATGTGAGGTTGAGGAGCGTCACGCTGCATGTTGCCTGATGCAAGATGCACTTTTCACTGCAACATTTTGCTCTTTCTTCTCCTGGCTGGTTCAGTGAAGGGTAGCACAGAGTGTACAGCAGATCTCTCTGGGTTACAGCAGTGAGGAGAGTTTAGTTGTACTATAATACTGACTGACAGGCCCACCATCCCTGTGGTGTTAAACATATCAACAATAAGCCTGCATATGGTGCGTGAGGAAAAGAGAGGAATCCTGCGTTTCTCTTCTTTCCTACGGCAACAGCTAGATCTGCTGGATCTGCTCGTCACCGGGAGGCAGAGAAGCCTCTTTTCTGTACAGTTAACTCATTCACGGGCCTCGGCCGAAGCCTATCGAGGAGATGCCTTTCATATGCTCATCCAACTCCCAGCTTCATTTGATGTCGTTCCCTGCGCTGTTAGCAGGGGCTTACATCTCTTCAATATTAATGGCCAATGGTGGGAGGCACCATGGCACTTAATAGAAACATTAATTATTCAGAAGGCCTATCTTTTGGTAGGCACATCCACTAATGTGCTAGTATGTATACAAATCAACTCATGATGGAGGCTTTGGTGCATACAATCAAAACCAAATGTATTAATAAATTCAGCCCACCAGGGGGAAGTCTGCTTCTTAAAGAAAATGTAATCACAGGGGGGGGGGGGGGGGGGACTCGGTACGAACCAACGCTGACTTAACCACAAATGAAAAGGGAGGAGCATCGACGTGTCTCCGAGTCAAGTCGGTGCTCATGTGAAGCGTCTGAATTAATGCACAGTTACCATCTAAACAGACCTGAGTTCAGACAGTGGCTCCATCTCCCGTCCCTCCTCCTCCCCCCCCACCTTCATTTCCTCCCTCCATCTCACGGTTCAGTTCCTTTGCTCCGTCCTTTGTTCTCAGCCTTACCTCACTTTACCTCCCTTAAACCCTCCCTGCTCTCCCCACTCGGCCTTCACAATCTTCCCATTATCTGCCACTCAGACGTAGAGGAAGCATTAACCCGGCAACACATCAGTCGCTGTAGTCTGAAGCATTGCAGGAATCATTTCTAATAAATGCATTTGTGTATACATTCCATCTTTCCCTCTACCTCTACATCAGTATGAGTTTTTCTACATTTCCCCGGATGCCTTTTGACAGCTCCCCGGCAACTTGTTGCATCGATCCGTGGCTTATACACTGTATGCGGTTGTAAAGAGGTTTGGCAATAAGTTGTTTCCACTCGAGGGAACGTCTCCGCCGCAGAATACAAGGTCTTGCAGCAGCTGTAGGTGGATAAATTGGCTTCTCTTTGCCTTGGATACACGGCTATAAGGATTTTTTTTTACCTGATTGTTCACCACTTGCACGTCTGTGAATCCTTATACTATGATCCTCTGTAGGTATTTGAAACATGGAAAAAATTAATTGGTATCGCAGCTGTGGAAATATCTTCACGTGACATCTTGCCTGCTAAAAAAAGGTATGTGATTAATCTAAAAACTCAAAGTACTGTGTATTATACTAAACACTGCAAATTGTTCATTTAATCCATCTGTGTTTCTCTGTGTCTGCATGAACGTATTGAATAAAAACTAGCGACATTTAAATTTAATACAGATATTCTCTATGCGATGTTGCAGTTCAGGGCTTTTCCTGAATTCCTCTCCTTGAATCTCTTAGTTTTTTTGCCTCTTGAATGTTAGTAACGTGAGAGATCTTTACTCTGACACTTTACAAACATTAATGAGCCTGGGTGAGCTGCTGCTGGTGACCTTGGCCTTGTGATCATAACCGGGAGGGGAATAAGGTTCGTCCTTCTGGATGGCCCATTTCATGTGCTATAAAATGACAAACTGAAAGTATAATGGAGCTGATGAGTGAGAGATGGTGATATACAGAGGCAAACAGGGAGGATAGAGAGAGGAGTAGGGGTAAGAGCGGTGGATGGAAAGAGCCACACAGAGGGATAGAGAGGCAGATTTTTTTTGGCTTATCTGCATACAGTATGGCAAATCAATTAACCAAGTTGATAACTTCTCTTTTTAATTGGCTGGAGTAAGATGTGAGCATGCTGCGGAGGAGTGGAGGGGTCTGGTTGGTTAGCCACAATGCAGCGGTGCGTTACCGAGCCTAATTAAATAGCTTGTCCTCCTGGCCCGACTCCCCCGTGACAACGAATCCACCGGGAGAGAACAAGCAAAGGCCTGAATAAGCAAAGGGCCCACTGATGGCCAAACAAATAAGCACTTCCAGGTCACGACCCCGGTGTTGACGAGGTGGAGGTGCGGACACATCCAGCTGCTGGGTTGTGTTGTTGCACGGAAAAGAGCAAATGAGACACTGCAGACACACACCACCTTGTCGTCTTTTTGAATAGCTGGACAGATCGTGGTCGATACAGTAGGTACACATATTTTTATTCAGAGGTTTTATTTCCTCTTTTTTAGATCATTTTTTTTATATGGTTTTCTTTTTAAACATTTATTGGTGCCAACATTACTTTCAAAATGCTGGAATAACCTTGTGAGAAGACAAAAGACATTAAAATCTATGAGCAGGCATCTGTGCACGGTGCAGCCAGCCACAAAGAGAAGGCAGATGTCAAAGAGACAGGCCTTTAAAACTGGATATCTCTGTGCCCTGTGTGTGTGTGTGTGTGTGTGTGTGTGTGCCCTTGAATAAACCCTGAGGGTGAAAAGAACTCACATGAATATGCAGCTGCGAGCACAACACACACAACCATACAGGTACATCATACACACTGTGGGACACATACTGTCTTTTTTCTCTCGAGTGAAAAAACAGCATTTGCTCTTTAAATTAGGGGAAAAGATACAGGATGAAAAAGACGAAACAAAAGACGAAGAGAAAGCGAACATTGTACAGATCTGCATGCATTAGGTGAAGCTCGCTCCCCGGGGAGCTTCTTTAAGGCTCCTTCTCATTCTTCTCAAGTCCAGAGGAAAACCAAACAGAGCAGAGCGGCAGAGCTTCTTCTCATGAAATATCCCTCAATGCAAATCAGACATTTCATTGTCAAGAGTCCAACTCATCTCTGTACAACTCAGTAAAATACGTCTTTTGAAAAATGAAGCATATAATCTGAGTTTAGCGAGCAGTTATGTGTTTAGAGAATACAAAGCAGGAATCAAACAATGTACTGTATCGCTGGATTGCCTCCATCACCGATGCTAATCAAGCTGCTATTTTAAATTCCCATTTGTTTCCTCTATGAAGAACTAAGGACGAGATGCAGCATCGTGGCAGCTGACTGCTGCACATCGATTGGAAGCGGATCTGCGTGGGCAGGCAGGACGGACAAACAAGAGGATTGTGGGTACTGACCTCAGTGATGCGTGGGTTGGTGCACTTGACGTTCTTGGTGGACAGGTTGAGCCAGCGGGTGGTGTAGGGGTTGATGGGAGGGCAGTGGTGCCGCAAGGTGCACCTCCCCTCTCCGCTGCACCAGCCACACTGGAACTTCCTCTGCGCCTTCAGACACACGCCGCAGCTGTCCCGCTGGGCCGCACACTTGTAGAGGTGCACTGTGGGTAGACAGGAAGTGATGAGGATAAACAGTGAACGCACGGAACAACTGAACATCCTAACCCAGTATTTGCAGGTTATTTTTATCTTTTAGGTCTGCTGTGAGTAAAATATCCCCACGGGCCTTTGCTTCTTTTACTTTATTTTTTAATAACATATTTTAAGACGCCTGTGATTAACATACAATATAAATAGAAACACCCACACACTTGTTTGAAAAGACAATACACGAGAGCAGAAAGAGTTCAGGGAAATAATGGAGTGTTGCATTTGTCCCTCTTCATCCTGCACATGTTGTGAGCTGCATCTTGGTCTTACCTTGGATATTCTCCGGGTTATCAATAATGAAGTTGCCGTTCCACACCACCGAGAAATCCACAGGCAGCTCACTGATTTTCATTCCCTCGTACAGATACTGGAGGCCGAGGATGACGAGCGGGAGAAGAGATAGAGAGATGGTGGTGAGGGTGGAAACGAGACCAAAGGAGAGGACAGGTTTAATGAGAGGTTTGGGGATTATAATCCCCGCGAGTCCTTGCAGATGCAGCAGTGTGTCCTTCCGACGTTACCCCAAAGTTACATCATCTTATCATCAGAGAGCTGACAAAGTGGGAGAGCTCGAGAGATGGGAGCAGCAGGCAGAGGCTTGAGCTTCCCTTAGAGATGCTGTCCTTAACTGCCTCCTGTGCCCTTAATTCCAGGCTGACTTTCATTGTTCGAGTGTGTGTATGTGTGTGTTTGAGACAGAGTGAGAAAAATGTGTATATTTGTGATTCCACTGAGAATAAATATTTTCCAGTCGTGTCCGGAGCAATTACCTAAGATGCATCTACCGTCTTTATACATCTACTAATCCACAAATCTCTACAATCGTTGAATTTGGTGCAAAACATTCAATATACTTTGAATAAAAAGGACACCAGCACTCTGTAGACTCATCAAACTACCTTCATTCCATTTGATGTATTTTTATATCTCTAGTCTTGTATTTTAAGTTTTACTCTTCCCGTGTTTTCACTTTTTTTTTTATATACACTTACATCTGCTGTACCAAACGTTTGTATATCTTCAGGTGTTTATCTTTAAATCTGTATTTATATTCGGCTTCAATACTCAATAGTTGTGTCTGTCAATCACCTGACACTTAAAATATCTGTATTGTCAATATCTCCACTAGCACATATTTCTTTACAGTGACTTTCATCTCACTGCAGTGAACTTACTCCTGCCAAAGTTTGACCTTTTGTTAATCTTATGCTCTTGTGTTGGACATGACGAATACAAATTCACATAACAACCAATCATAGATCACCAATCACACCTTCTCTGGCCCAATCTGTTCAAGAGCCACCAAACCTACCGAGCTGTTCTGGCACTGCACGCTGGAGCTGTTGAAGCGGAGGGCAGTGACTCTGTGGCTGACCCCCTGGATGTGGAGGACGCACTCGTAGCCTCGCTGGCCAGACTGTGGCTGTGGCAGATTCCTGGCCTTCAGGGTTATGGGCTTCACCTCCCCCGCCGGGATCAGAATCTCCTCAGAGCGCACCAGCTGGGGACAGTCCTGGCAGAAACGAGAACGGGCAGAGAGCAAATGTCACCACCAACGATTCTGATAGATACATCCAGCGCTTTAAGTTTTCTAGCAAGATGAGAGGAAAAACATTTCTACAGGAGAGTCATGAATATAAATACTGATAAATATGAAGCAGGGTAAGTGAGTCGGAATTTAAACGTGACTCCTGCGACCTCGAAAAGAGAAATTAAATTTAGATAAATTCTTTTTTTTTAAGTGTATAGCACCAACTGACGAAAGTGCATAATCTCAAAGTACTTTACATAACAAGGTCAAGTATTCTACATAGAAAACTCAACAGTTCCCACAATGAGCAAGTACTTTTGACAGTGGAGAGAAAAAAAAAACCTTTTTTAATAGGAGCAGAAACCTTGAAGACTCAGGGTGGGCGGCCATCTGCCACTTTAGGGTTGAAAAGAGAGAGGTCAACTCTCTCAGCAATACGATGTCAAAGAACATTTGTATCAAGTAACGTATTACAGCAGCATCGCACACTAAAGCTCTGGTTTGGCCTTTTTACGTCCAGTGATTATGAATCTGAGCCCTGAACCACGGATGAACCGTCCTAATGAAACACCCGCTACTGGTGCTCACTGACGGGAGGTGACGTAGAAGTTTTCAGAGCAGTGGAACGAGAAGGAACTGCAAGTTTAAAGTAATACACATTGTAATCGCTGCCTTAGATCCTTTATTACAAAAGTAAATCAGAAAAAAAAGCACTACAGAAGTACTACATGTGTCCATAGTCAAGGACAAATGGATATCTACACTCTGAGGCACATCTCAAGCTTTTTGGATTCGCCGGACATGATTGACTTGGTCAGAGCGATCTCGTGTCACAGTGAAGACACACTGAGCTCAGAGATAACAGACTGTTAATTGCTACTGCCGAGAACAAGAGCTCTGAATGAGAAATGCCAGTTCGGAAATAGAAGAGCTTATAGATGTCTGTCTTTCTGAAGACATGCCCCGAGGCTGACACAGAGCTGGAACACAGAGCAGGATGCAGACAGGAGTAAATAGAGAGAGAGAGGGGATGTGAAGAAGAGAGAGAACGAGAAAGAGAGAGAGAGAGAGAGAGAGAGAGGGAAGAGGGGTGAAAGGAAAGAGGAAAACATGGGACGGAACGAGAAAGTTACTTGTTTGCATGCGTGTGTGTTTGTGCATGTGTGTGTTCCACCGACCTCTGAGGCGTTGACTCTGCCCTCCTGGAAGGAACAGCTGGAGGGGTCGTGGGTGCACAAGTTGCGGTACTTGCACCAGTGGCAGCGGAAGGCGCTGTTCACACATGACAGGCACCTGCACGGACACACGCACATACACACACATGTCGAGTGAGAGTCGAGAAAAGGCAACGCAGTTAAGGCAGGGAGGTGGGGGGAGCCAGAGTGGGGGAAGTGCCACAGAGGAAATGAGTTCAGCTCCCAAGTGGGCGCCTGCTGTTGTTGTGCCCTTGGAGTTGGCACAATCCCTAACAGCTCCTGGGCCAAGTTCTCCCTGCGTATATTTTGTTCGGCCATATATTAAAACTGGGTGTCACGTGTGAACGGGACGTTGCATATTTGCCTTCATGACCAGAGTCTGATGAAGGAGAGCGAGGAAAAGCTGGAGCGGAGGAACGTCGAGTAAATTAAACATTTGCACAACTTGATCCTGCAGTTACCATTAGTCCTGTATTGTTGGAGTGTCACTGTAATTACCAGCTGTTAGGTGTGTGTGTGTGTGTGTGTGTTTTTTATTGCACAAAGTAAATTTGTTACTATTAAGGTACCATAGTGCAAAAAGTATTTACTGTAAAAGTAAAACAGTAAACACAAATGTTAAGTGTAATATGTTCTTTGCAGGTTTTTTAAATGGTTAACTGCATAAAAATATAAATATTTCCCTGAAATAAAGTGGAATAGAAGTATAAAGTTAAGTGCAGGACCCTCTTGAGTAGATTTACTTGCTATCACTGGGATCATCACAAAGACGGAGGCATCATCAAGTGGTTTTCACTACGCTGTGTATTCATGAGCAGTTGTTCAGGAGGCGTACTGTCGTCTCACTTGGCTCTGCCTCTCCCTTTCTCCCCCTGAATTAAGGTTGTGTTCTGCATTCTTGCCTAATGCGAAATATGCATCTGTGCAAACGGATGGGAGGGGGATCTCCGGCAAGCACGCTAATTCAGAGGAGTAGGGGCTGATTCCCCTTCAGGCAAATAGTGTGTCTGCTATGTGTGCAAGGCGAGAAAGGGAGGGAGTGCGTATGCCCTTTTGGAGTGTACGCACTCCTCTGTGTGTTTGTGTGCGTCGCTGCCGGTGCAAGTATGTTTGTCATCGCCCATTAACTGAGCTGATGTGAGAGCCAGTAATTGCTTTTTGTGCAAGTCTCACATGGATTTTCAGACAGCAACATGAAGCTATAGAGCAGCATGTGCTTGTGTGTATGTATCTGCTGTCATGTCTGTCTGCGTCTGAGGAGGAAAACATCGGCTGCTTTTATCCGGCGAAATTGACAATGTCTATAACGTTTTGTTTTAATGTCGAGGGGACGGTGAAAGGATAATATGACACGCGGCGATTCCTGCACCCCTGCTAGCATCGCTAATGTGATACCCTCACTCTGCATTCAGTGATACTCCCGTGTCAGCGAGGCCTTTGGATCTCGCACAAACACAACCTGCCACCGTGGAAGGAAGCGAGCAAATAGCAAAGGCACCGCTGACACTGAGATCTCCAGTCCAGGGATTCAGTTGGACATCGGTCACTCGGGGACGAACGTGGCATGAAAACGAGCATGAAATCTCCTCTGAAGACTTGTTCGGCAGAGAGGAATGTGTTCTGCACCGCGGGGTGTTCGAGGAGAAGGCTTCATCAGCGCGGCAGCACAGAAAACTCCTGTTACCGTGCTCAGGGAGCAGCCACAGATCGGATGACGTTATTCTGAACAGGGGATATTTTTAGGGCCGGCTTGGGTTGAGGACAAATAGTAAACTAATTCCCAGAGCATTGATCCGGTGGGTTTGAGCAGCAGGTCTGGGAGAATTGTTTTTGTTAATTAAAATAGAATGAATGGACTAAAGAGAGATACTCACAGTTGGTGGACGCTGCAGTTGTAGAACTTGACCTCGGTGCTGATGAGCATCTGACCGGTCTCTTTAGAATTCAGTCTCAGCTCGACGCCTGACCAATCTGAAAGAGAAGAGACGTATATTACACACTCATGCAGATTCCCTTTATCTTTAAATCATTTAGCTGTGAGCAGCAGCCTCGATCGAATCTTATGTTCATTAGTCGTCTCAGTAAATTCGGAATTGTTATGAGTTGTTCATATTTGTGTAA